TTTTTTTTTTTTTTTTTCGTTTTTTCATACTTCTTGGACCGTCGCGTCATGGTGTCATTTAGTGGTCAATAGGAGAATTCAACGATACCTTTTCCAAGTCCGGCATAAAGCTCTTGGCAACATGACAATTCTGCAAAACCACCCAGGTGCCATTTTTCATTCCTTCGTCGATAAGTTGGGCGGCAATAACTCCTTGTCCTTGACCCAAAGACAGAGAGAACAGTCGATTTGTGCCGAAGCCCTGGTCATCGGCGAATTTCAGTAGAATCGCCATAGGATCGGCGCCGGGCGTCAGCACGAATATCAGGGGGCTGCAGGAGTTCGAGTCCGCGAACGACGACACCAGGTCGAAGGGCGGCGCCTCAATATACTGATGTCCCAGTTGCTCTGTCAGAAATTAATCGAAAATCGTTCGACCTCGAATGAATTCATTTCTCTATTTCTGTTTTCATTTTCAATACCTACGTCTTTTCTCTCTCTCTCTATCTCTATTTCTCTTTCTATATATATAGTTACGAAAGTACCTATTTGCACTCTTACAATAGAAAACATTTACATTTTCATTAATAGTGTGATAAAAGACAAACTTTGAAGTTAATTCGAATGCAAGATAAAATTTATTATTTGATAAAACGGCCTTCAATGCCATTGAGGCATTTGTATTTGTAGTACTACTTATTTTATTAGGCATATATGTATATACGTTATATTTTTATATATACATTTCCAGTAGATTCCATTATATGGCAGTCATATCTCATTTCACTAGCGAAATTTCAAATTTTCTTGCAACACGTTCATTTAAATCTTCTACAATATTCAGATATTTCTTTCGAGTAACTGAAATCGTGTTTCATTAAAGATTTCATATACTTTCACGAGAATCGTGAATTACAGTTTTTTCGTGTCATAAAACATTCAAAACATCGTACGCATGAGCTCTTTACGATAAATATGCAAACGACGACACGACGTTAGATTGTCACGTCGTTCAATGATGTATGTATATCTACATGAAAATTTTTCACCTTCTACAAATTGCTGGACGGCTGGCACGACTTTGTCAGGACGGATACATCGCAGCACGATCATTCTCTTGAATAAGGTGAGCTGCTCGTAAGGCGCCGGGAATGTTAAAGTGTGAGGCTCCATGTGATCAAAGACCGCTTTCCAACCATCTAGATTTTTCTTGAACGCATTTTTAAATTCCTAAACAAGAAAAGAGAAGGAACCTCATAACAAGTAGAGAAAATCATTTGCTTTTTTATTTGCTACTACCTATTTCTTAATATTAATCATTA